TTTTTATGCGTTGTTTCCCACGTATTAACTCTAAACATCTCTCAACATTTTTCAATGGAGTTTCACAACCCGTTTTACGTGGAGTGGCGTAAAACTTGGTGAAAAACTTTCGCTAGGGTGAAACTCCATGGATTCACAAACTTACATCGTGCGTAATTTTATCACGTTGTCGTGCAGTTACTTCACTGGTTTGTCGAATATGATTTTGCAAGGGGGCTTTAAGGCTGCTGCTACTCTGGAGGCTACGATTAACGGCGATCTCGCATTCTTGGGAAATGCAATCTTGTGATACACTGGGGCAATTTGATGATATTCATACAGTGTTGGAGTAGGAATATATGTTTGCTTTCCTCAGCTACTGAGCTCAGGAGTGAACACAGTGTTGGAGTAGGAATATATGTTTGCTTTCCTCAGCTACTGAGCTCAGGAGTGAACACAGTGTTGGAGTAGGAATATATGTTTGCTTTCCTCGGCTACTGAGCTCAGGAGTGAACACAGTGTTGGAGTAGGAATATATGTTTGCTTTCCTCAGCTACTGAGCTCAGGAGTGAACACAGTGTTGGAGTAGGAATATATGTTTGATTTCTTCAGCTACTGAGCTCAGGAGTGAACACAGTGTTGGAGTAGGAATATATGTTTGCTTTCCTCAGCTACTGAGCTCAGGAGTGAACACAGTGTTGGAGTAGGAATATATGTTTGCTTTCCTCAGCTACTGAGCTCAGGAGTGAACACAGTGTTGGAGTAGGAATATATGTTTGCTTTCCTCAGCTACTGAGCTCAGGAGTGAACACAGTGTTGGAGTAGGAATATATGTTTGCTTTCCTCAGCTACTTAGCTCAGGAGTGAACACAGTGTTGGAGTAGGAATATATGTTTGCTTTCCTCAGCTACTGAGCTCAGGAGTGAACACAGTGTTGGAGTAGGAATATATGTTTGCTTTCCTCAGCTACTGAGCTCAGGAGTGAACACAGTGTTGGAGTAGGAATATATGTTTGCTTTCCTCAGCTACTGAGTTCAGGAATTTCCCATCTAATTGTATGGCCATTTACACACCAATTCGGATGGCCGTGTACAGAAACCAAATTTTCACATTAATTTTTCCAACCTATATTCATGTATCAAGGTACGCGGTATTCGCTATCGGGTGTCTGTTGATGCCCCCATTGATAAGATGGATAGAGTTCAGATCACAGATCAAGTTCATCTCATTTGTCGGTGGTTTTGGCTACACATTTTATCTGTAATATCTCTGAGAAGTATTCCTTACTGAACGCAGTTAAAATCAGTATTATTATCGCCGATCTCAATAAGACGTACCATTTTTCCAAAGAATTTCATTCTCGAAAAATTTTCTCGCGTCAATGAATAAGTGAGAGATGTATGTTTCGTGTCTTGACTACGTTCACTACGTTCGGGTTCACGTCGCATACTGATTAGCAGTATTTTTATATGAGAGCACTTCCTGAATAGGCGCCTTTAGACAGCGTATGCGTGCAAGGGATGCTCGTTGCACGCGTGCACATGTTATTTATGATGAACGCCTTTGATATTATCGATCTCGCTTTTGGCACGATTACCAGTTTGGTTCGAGAGGTTTAACTTTATATAGGAGATTATAATGCACTTAGATTTTCATTTTTTTGTGAAGACTTCAGTCCAGTCTGGCAGAATACTTGGAATTTGTATCAGTTACGTCAATACTACGACTCCATCGGAGGACCCAGGTGCGGCTAGTTGGGTGATATACCTCATCGGTGCCACTATGGTGGGCTTGGGTGCTCCCTTGGTGTGGATACCCACTCTGGAGATGGTGTCGAGATCAGCGTAGTATGCTGGGGAAGTGATGTGTTCTCGATTCCGGGATTAATGATAGTGAACAACTTGTCGCTATCATAGTCTCGAAAGGTTACTTTTATCACATCACATGTTCATAGCAATGTTTATATTGTTTATGCGATATAGTTTCAGATCAGAAAACCTCGGAAAACCAAAAGCTCAAGTGATACGCACTATCCACACAGAAATGCTCGGGACTAACGATCTTGTGTAGAGCACCACACTGCATATTTCGCATATAAATAGCGAAATAGGTTTGCGATCTCGGCAGATGAAAGTCAGGCTCATTATAGGTTTCAGTGAGCTTACACGTGGTGCGAAAAGATTAACTGCACCCTTATGAAATCAAAGAAAGCTCTATTACGAAGCCAAGTTCAAAGGGAATGTGTACGAAATGTTTTAGAGGAGGTAACACTTGCCTCTACACTGCTTGAACCATGAAGGCCTGGCGATCCAAAATCGATCGGAAAGGCGAGCGCGAATTACCCAGGGTACTGTATGCAGCTCTTGAGGAGGGGTCTAGCTGTGTGAAGATCGCTTTCTCGGGATGGGTGTCTGCTCATTCTAATGCAATGAGCGAAAATCGATCGGGAAGGCGAGCGCGAAATATCCTGCGTACCGTCTATATGGTTCCTGGAGCGAGTGGAGCTTTTATATGTTCAGCAGTGCATTGGCGAGGACGCCGACGATGCAGCTGACAGGCTTTTACAAAATACTATCTGTGAAGGAACGAACATCTGATCATTTAAGATGGTGAATCAACGACAGCTGCCCGGAACAGTTCTGGTCTACTGTGCATACTGAGGATAGACACCTATATGTTGGTGGTGTATGCGTAGCCTCGACGGCGATGCTGACGATAGGATTAACGCGCTGTTCGAAAAGCCCATCATTGAAGTTGACGACCTTAGGTGTTTCGAACAGTTCTTGTTGTCATAGGGACTATCACCATTGTACTTTTATATTATGTGCACACATATTACAGTTATTAAAATTGGTATGATAAAATATCATTTTCGTACTTGCGTAGAAAACTTGAATTCACTATAGGTATTTCCACGTTCGTGATCTATCTCGCCCCACATCTCCCACCGCGGTTGGACCTCAGACTGAATCTCTAGAAGAAATTAGTGGGGTAGAGCAGGGCGTATATAACAACGATGTAATCAATTGAAGGCGTGACAGTAGTGGTGACACACACAGCGTTCAGAATCTCACTCTGCCAAGTGACGAGATACCACCCAATAGTCGACGTAGAGGATCGATCGTATCGTCCAGCGGGGGCGACTCGCCCAACACTACTTTCTATAGACGCTTTGACAGGAATCTGTCGAGGTGTGTAGGCCTGCGGGCCCAGGTTCGATCCCTGCACCCGGCATTTTCAGGTTTAACGGTATTTTCTATGGTATTTTCCAACTGCATGGACTGGTGCTCTACCCCTTGGGTGCCCTAGTAGCCTACTCTGACGACAACAGCGAGTGAGAAAATAATACTCGTATTAAGCGCTGTTGGAGTAGGAATATATGTTTGCTTTCCTCAGCTGTGCTTAGGAGTGAACACAGTGTTGGAGTAGGAATATATGTTTGCTTTCCTCAGCTACTGAGCTCAGGAGTGAACACAGTGTTGGAGTAGGAATATATGTTTGCTTTCCTCAGCTGAGCTTAGGAGTGAACACAGTGTTGGAGTAGGAATATATGTTTGCTTTCCTCAGCTACTGAGCTCAGGAGTGAACACAGTGTTGGAGTAGGAATATATGTTTGCTTTCCTCAGCTCCTGAGCTCAGGAGTGAACACAGTGTTGGAGTAGGAATATATGTTTGCTTTCCTCAGCTACTGAGCTCAGGAGTGAACACAGCGTTGGAGTAGGAACATATGTTTGCTTTCCTCAGCTACTGAGCTCAGTAGTGAACACAGCGTTGGAGTAGGAATATATGTTTGCTTTCCTCAGCTACTGAGCTCAGGAGTGAACACAGTGTTGGAGTAGGAATATATGTTTGCTTTCCTCAGCTGAGCTCAAGAGTTTACATACAAAATCTAATAAATTGTTTTTGCAATTCGTCAGAGTTCCACCCGTTTTACGTGAAGTGGCGTAATACTCTGTGAAAAATCCAATATATGTTTTTACTGGTGTTTTTCATATCACGGAATATATTAAACTCTAACAAAATTCAGGATTTTCTGAAAATTCTCACATAGAAATGTACAGCAGCCAATATGGTGACAGCAAATGGTGACACGCTCGTCTCAGTTGGCGCGAGCCTCTGTTCTGGACAGTAGCTATGCTACCGTTGGCAGCCAGTTTTGTGTTC